AAATTATTCATTCGAGACCAGTTTTTAACCGATTACTCCAAATTGAAGGGAGATAACGATTTTTTCATAAATACCTTTTTTACACCTCTCATTTTGTTCTATAAAAAATGTTGACGGGAAAAATTTGTTATGTTACATCAATTCTGAGATATCGGCTAAAAACCGGCCTGGAAAAAAAATGCACCTATCGTCATTTATGTTGCTACCGATTTGTTTATCCTGAGCCATGAATTTTCGACTCCCAAAATTTCAATTGATAAAAATAGTAAATTCTAATGAATCATCCAACATTTTATTCACTCTGGAATAACCCGCGGAACTACAAAATGCTTCTTCGAAGTGAGCGGACCGTGACCGTGGCCTCATCTCTTTCACCTCCAAATGGCAAATATATTGTCAGTCCTCTCCAGGCCCAGGTCCCCAGTAAAAAATCCCAATAAAAAAAAAACCGTTAAATTTTAAGAATCATCAGATATATCGAGAAGATTAATCGGCGATTGCGTGACAGTCCTGGAAAACCCGTGTCAGGATCAATGATTGGTTGTGACCACTGAAAAACAATTATCATCTCGGTGCGGCAGACATGGAGGGAGTCCCAGAGGACAATTATTACCCAACTGGCCCAACACCCGACGGCCTATCGTATATAAGATCTTGTCTTGCAGGAAGAATCGTCAGTTTGTTTCTCGACTCTCAGCAAATCGCAACATATTCTCCACCCACCAGTGATAAGAAATGATAACGATTCAGTGTTTTGTGCCGCTCGTGCTGCTGCTACTCCCTCCATCCCCAGGTCACACAAGTAAGAAGCCCAAAATAATATCGACAATAATTATCACGCCTGATCGATGGCATCCCTTAACCATCTACCATATTTCTAATCGCAGGTATTCTGGATGGAATAGCTGAAAGACATCGCAAACGAGTGGAAAATCTCGGCTCCCTTCTGGATCCTCTTGGTATATTTCACCCCAAGGGTACTGAAGCATCAGCAAATTCAAAAGCTACCAGCATCAATCATGGCTTTCATCTTGGACCCATTGGTTTTGAAACGTCAATAAATCACGCGTCAGCTAATGCAAATGCCAAAGCTAATGGAAATGGTGGAGCTGGAGCTGGAGCTCAGGCATCAGCAGATGCTTCAGGGGCACATGCCAATGCCAATGCCAATGCCAATGC